TTATAGAGAAACTCCTAGGGAGTGGGAGAAGAAATTAAAAAAGGGTACATGAACAGTACACCAAAAGTCCTCTCTGGGAAGAGGGATGCTACCTAATTTTAGTCCTCCCAGTGGCAGCAGCAGGACAGCGAGTGCCTCCTGAACAGGTGGAGTGTGGGTGTTTGGGGAAGGTGGTGGCATGCAAGAAGGTTCTATAAGGGAAAGTACTTTTTTTCCATCACTGGATGATTCAAAATAGGCTGAATCATTTGGCTTGCAAGGCTAAATACCCTCCTTCCCTGCCAAGATATTCCAAAACCATTCCCCAAATCTAAAGGAGTTTTTTTAAGGAAAAAAGGAAGGGGAAAAAAATCTAGATTTTAAGATGATGAAGAAAAACTCACATGACACATAAGGGCTGGTGGTAAAGCAGTGCACTGATATCTGAGTATTTAAGTCTGAACAGAGAAATCCTGATTATTCTGTATCAAACCAAATGAAACAGAGATAGTTAAAAAGTTGTTGTTAAGTTTCTTTTAAAGCCTGCCAAAGGTGCCAGCTCTCTGTTGCAGCATATCATCACACACAGCCTCAAGGTTCTTAAACGTTTCATTGCCCTGCCACAAGCAGACAGAGCCTGGAGAGGCTCCACTGTCTGTCCTATTTGACCTAATTTGACCCAGCCCTCCCTAAGCAGCCCTGGGCTGTGCCAGGCAGGCACAAGAGCCCCAGCAGGGAGGATGGAGCCAGACTTCACACGGGGGAAGCAGATGACAGAGCAGCAGGATTCTCTGGAGCAAAGGAGCAGAGGTTTGCCTGAAAGGATGGAGTAAAATGCCTCCAAGGACAATGGTCTTTTTCAGCTTACAAAAAGTAAAAAGTCCCAGTGCAGTGATGATACAACCAAAATATACTTTGCCTTCCAGCTATCATCCATACTTTGTGTGTATGCCAGTCCACCCAGGGTAGAAAGCCTCCTGTACAAAGCAGGGAAAGGGAAGGTATTTTGTGTGCTGAAAACACAACAGCATTTACAGTGCAGAGCTGTATCTGACAGGAAGAAATCAGTTTCCTCTTCTGACAGATAAAGCAATCTTTAGTTGCAGAAGGCAAGGAAGGAAAAAAAAACCCAAACCCAAAACCCTTTACTGTCTGTGTCAGATCATTTTGTCTTCCCAGACATTTGTGCTGTATCCTACAAACTGACACATTTCCTTAAAAGTAAAGAGAGCTTGGTTTGTATTAAATTTTTAATTTGCAGAGACCTTCCAGCCTTTAGCAGCCAATAAGTTTTTCAGGTAGCATGAACGTACTAATCTATTTAATTAGTAATTATAATTCCAGTTATCCTGGCTTTAGAGAGAGGTCAACATACATCACTTTGTCATGCCTAAATGATGCCATGGGGACTATGGCACCATAGTCACTTGTGCTGTTGGCACAGCACAAATATGCTGCAGCACATCCAGAGCATCTCAAACCGCCGGGAAATGCTAAGTTTGTAAATCTTTGACAGAGGAAAAAGTGCAGAGTTGGCAACACACGAGAGGAGAGGAGAGGGCTTCCATATGCTCACTAGTTTTACAGCAGTGGCTGCAGCTGGGAGTTCACCAGAAAGCAGGAACTGCGTTCTGCACAAGATAACGTTTGTGTTGTAAACTGAAAACTTGATGTTGAGAAGGAAACAGAAAGTCAAGTAATGCTTGGTGGTTGAGGTAAAAATATAAATCTAGGTTTCTTTCATATAATTAAAAAGAAAATCCTTCAATTTCTTCTTGTTGCTCAAATCCTTTGTCTGCTTCCTCACCCATTCTGGCTTGACATTAGATTCTTTCCTTGTCTTTCCTCAATAAATTGATTTAGAATAACAAAAGTAATGTACTTAATTTTTGACAGTTTCTTTCTCTTTGGTTCCTCTCTTATATTCCAAAAATGTAAAAACATTTTGTTCTTAGCTTTTAGAAAATCAGAGCTCTTTCAGAACTGTTATGCCACAACTTACACATCTTTAAAATATTAACGAAGCAAGCAAAAAAAATCCATGCATAGTTATAGAAGAAGTCAATGCTTTTGAAGTGTTAGATATTTTGTAACATCCAAACTGTTTGCCTTTCCTTAGCGTGAACAAATCTTTCTTTTACACACTGTTCAAAAAGTTGGTGACACTTCTCCTAGCCTCTACTACATACACACTGCATTTAATTGCCTTTCTTTTTAAATAAAAGATTTGAGTATAAATTTAAAATTAATGCTCCCCAGAAACATATTGTCTTGGAAATGCACATTGCTGTAACTTTTAATCTTTTTTTTTTTTTTTTTCCTACGGGTACTTTCAGTGAGACATTGAACTGGAATAGAAAAAATCTCCAAAGCAAATTGGGGCGGGAAGCTCAGGTTTGGAAGGAAAGACAAACTAGAGCATCACTGATGCTCCAAGACGCACGGATGGGATGGGCACTATCGTTGTTAACTCGCAACCGAGTGAGGAATCTCCCGTTCTCTCTTGGGAGTGATCTGAGAGCAAAGCGCTGTGGATGAGGCAGCAGCGAACAGACACATCCATCTGCAAGAAGCCACAGGGATGGAACCCAGCGCAGAGCGGGACGCGGAGGGGCTGAGCTCGCGGCTCCCCGCTGCCCGGCAGTGCTGAGGGGTCACCCGCAGGTTCGTGCCCGAGGCATTCCCAAAGGACCGCTCCCCGCAGCTGCGGCAGGACGCGGCGGCGGCTCCCGGCGCTGCCGGGCGGGAGCGGCCCCGCCCGCCCCGCGCAAAGGCCGGGGGGCTCCGGGCGCCCCCGGCCCCGGCCCCGGCCCGCTGGAGGCGGCGCGGACTCACCGACCTGACGAGCGGCCCGAGCTGCAGCAGGTGCAGCAGCAGCACCAGCGGGCGGTCGCGGCTCACGTCGCGGTGGATGAAGACCAGGCTGAGCTGCACCAGCGCGCAGGGAAGGAGGGCGAAGAACAGCGTCAGCGTCTGCCACATGCGGTCCCCCGTGTCGCGGTAGCCCGCGCTCAGGCACAGCGCGGCCGCCGTCTCGGACATGAAGAGGACGAGGGAGACGAGGACGGAGCCCGGGAATTTCATCGCAGCGGCCGCCCCAGCCCGGCCCGCCCAGCCGCCGCCGCCGCCGCGCACTGGGGCCCAGTCCCCGGCAGAGGGAGCGCGCTCGCCGCCGGCCCGCGGCCTCTGCAGCCTGGGGCTGGGTCCGGGCCGGGGCTCGATCCTGACCGCGCTTGGATCCTGCCTGGCTCTGGATCCTGGCCGAGGCTGGACCCTGGATGGGCTGGAAGCGGGGGAAGGTTCCCCGGCGGTGCGCGGGGAGCTGCCCGTCATCGTGTCTCCTTCAGCCGTCAGACACAGAGCTGAACTGGGGGCTGGTGGGAAGGGGCCAGCGGGGCCCCTCAGGCCTTCGGCAGGCTGGGGAGATCGCACAGCCACGGCATCGCCCAGGCTGGAGAAGAACCACACCATGGCACTGAGTGCCACGTCCAGGCTTTCCTGAAGCACACCTCCAGGAACAGTGATTCCACCACTTCCCTGGGCAGCCCGATGTCTAATGCCCACTTCCCTGGGCAGCCTGCTCCAATGTCTAATTATCCTTTCTGTGAAGAAATTCCTCCTAATGTCCAACCTAAACCTCCCCTGGTGAAGCTTAAGATCATGTCCCCTAGTCCTATCACTGTTTGCCTGTGAGAAGAGACTGACCCCCACCTGGCTACACCCTCCTGTCAGGGACTTGTAGATTGTGACAAAATAGAGATCTCAAAGACAGAGGCAAGGGCAAAGTCTGTACCAGGAAGAAAATAACCCTGTGCAATAATAAAGGCAGAGAGATGATTTAATTAATAAACAAACAAACAAACTCCACAACAAAACCAACCAACCAAAGGCAGAAAAGGAGTTGTGAGTGTAGGAGAGGCTCCCCTCATGCACTCCAGCTCAGTGATCAGGGCAGTGTGGCAGTGTCAGAGGTGCCCTTTTTGCTCTCTGCCAGGTGGCTCTCCTCGTTTGCCAGACCCTTTCCTTCAAAGGCTGTACCAGGAAGAAAATAACCCTGTGCAATAATAAAGGCAGAGAGATGATTTAATTAATAAACAAACAAACAAACTCCACAACAAAACCAACCAACCAAAGGCAGAAAAGGAGTTGTGAGTGTAGGAGAGGCTCCCCTCATGCACTCCAGCTCAGTGATCAGGGCAGTGTGGCAGTGTCAGAGGTGCCCTTTTTGCTCTCTGCCAGGTGGTTCTCCTCTTGTTTGCCAGACCTTTTCCTTCCTTGGGCCACAGAACCCTAAGCCCTGCTGTGACACCAGCTGTTGGCCTGCAGCATTTGCCTGCTGTCCCTGGGCCTTTTCCCCTCACCAGCAGGATCCTTTCTGCCTCGCCACCAAAAGTCTGGAGTCCTTCTGGAGACACGAATTGTCACCCCAGCAGTATTGCCAGTGCCTGCATGGATGAGCAGCACAAGGTGACAGCCTGAGGAGAAGACAAGCCTTTGTAACCCCTCCATGAAATCCTGAACCCGAGCACAAACAAAACTGAGGTACCAAGCCACGTTGGCAGATGGTGCCTCTGTCCTGCCCAGGAGTCTCCAGTCATTGCTTCTCTCCTCCTCTTGGTGCAGGTACTTGGTTCATGCTCAGCTGGCTCTGGTGATAGATCTTGTTTCTGCCTGCCTGCTCCTAGGTAACTGCTGATCACCCTGTGGGGGTTAGTACAGACCTGGGACCTACAGGAGCACCAGATATGAAGTCTGCGATATTATTAATGGGATAACACTACTGGCTACTTCTGCTTACCTGCTACTGTTCTTTAATGCAAGTTAGGGTGTCACCAGATTTACACAAAAAGTGCCAATAAACACTTGGTCTGAATGATTTATCTCATTCTAAAATGATTTATTTTACTTTTGATAACCATTGAAAAGCTTTTGGAACACTGAGTCACGACTACTGTGGAAGAAAGTGTAGCCAGCACTATGAAAGGTAAGTCATAGAAATAAAATAAGCCAATACAAAATCATACTGTTCAAGGTTGGACTTTTATTTAAGGCAAAATATAATCACAGCTTTAATATTCATAATATGGATATACACAGTTTGTTCTGCCACTATGAAGCTCAGTATTATCACTGCTTTTAAAAAGCTATAAAATCTAGTTTCTATCATAATCTACAATACAAAACTAATACAATAAACACATTCTGAAAGATCACAGTGTTTAAAATATTAGAAAAGCAGGGGTCCTGCTTTCAAACAATAAGGTGCATCTCTAAAGAATCAAATCAGCCTTGATTCTACAGGCCTGTACCACATCATGGCTGTGAATGGCTGTAACACTGAGAAACCAATCTAGGGTGTGGCACGTACTCAAGGAATGAACATCACACACTGGAATATACTGAATAATCAAGTGTCACCAACACAAACTAGACATTAAATAATGCCATTTAAGTTCCCTGTAGTTTTTATTTGTATTGGTATTCACGTATATTGCAGAGATATTGAGATAAAATGTGTATAAATTGCTATCAAACAGGGCCCTGCATATGCAAACACCTGTGCTTTCCTCATACTATGCAAACAAGCCTTACTAATTCCATGGGACTCATGTGTAAAGGAAAGTTTGTAGGCCTGGGGTCTGGAACAACATAGTTTACCCCTGTTTCACACATGTGGAAGGAGCTACTTTGCATGCCTGGAATCAAGCAGAGGTTCACCACAGACATCAGCAGGTGGCCTATCAGGCTGTTAAAATGAGTGCAGGAGGCCAATTCAGTGGCAAAACCAGACCACTGTTAAAAGAAATCCTTCTCTCTTGTGTGGTCATGGTAATGAAGACAGAAGCAGAGTTGAATTTGTGGTCAGACAGCCTTCCTCTTCTATATGATGTAAAAATGTATGTTGGAGTAGAATGTGTTTTCTATTCCCTACAGGATATAATTGACTTATGAACTTTTACATAGTGATACAATGCTGTTGCTGAATGTCAGTACACTATAAATTCTCTTGTATTCAAATATCATTACACCACTGGACAAAATAAGTTTTTAATTAATTTTCTGCCATTCTAGCTGGTATTGTTGTACTTGACCTAAATGCTTCCATCTTCTCTTTCAGTCATGCCATGAACAAAGTCAAGGGACTCCCTTCTAAGCATTAAAAATAAATATGGCCTTATGCATTTTCAAGCAGATTCCTATTTATAAATATGTTTTTTGAGAGCATGACATAGAATTTCCAATATATGGGGTGTAAGACCAATGGTGACAGTACAAATTAGTCAAGTTTAGTAATTCAAAGGCAGATTGTATTTTTTTAAACTGCCTCATCATGGATAGCGCACATCACTTCTGTTCCTTTAAAAGACAGGAGTAGGCAGTAGGTTCAGCTACAGGCAACTCCTTCACAGGCAAATGTTTTTTAACATTTGATGACTTTGCTATAATGGCAATGGAGTGCTGTTCCAGGCAGCTGAAACAAGCACAGTGCTTACTGTACCACTACCTGTGCCATGAGACACTGTGCTATTCCTCTGGAAAATGCCTATTCATATCTCTAAATTGCTGTATTGTTTTGTGGGCCCTGAGCATTTTTGGCTTATGGCTTTGAAGTATGTTGTTCCCCTCAAAGTGGGATTTTTGGTCATTTTCTTATTTCTTTCCAATTTAGCTTTCAGCTGTTACTACTTAGTCTTAGACATATTTATATAAACTGAAATGTCTTCTCAGAGCAGTCCAGGCTGTGCTGCCAGCCAGCAAGTGTTAGCTCTTCAGAGCAAGATTGCTCTTTGAAAATCAATCGGGCAATTTTAGTCCTGATATGCTAATCTTTCTACAGATTAGAATATGCACTTATGTCAGTGAATATTCAAGGTTTGTAGAAGATTACTGCACCTGAGATTTACTTGGCAGACCTCAGAGATCCAAAGAACAAGGATATAGTCTCAAAATGCATGCATACACTAAAATAGGTCACTGTTGGCATAAAACATGCAATATGTTGGCAGATGCTGTAACTGTATATGCAGAAAACTATGAATACAAAAACTTGATTGCTTATCAAAGTTTCCATTTGCACATATTGCCCCTCCACGTTTCTGAATAGAGCAGATGCCTAGGGTTCATTTTTTTCCACAGTATTAAAAAACCAATCCGTATTCTTGTCATATTCTTTCCATGTCCATATATAATCAGTATTAGAACATCAAAGTGGCATTACTTAATTTGACAGAGTAGCAATAAAGGTGATCCCTTTACTTGTATTCCCTTATGTATGTTTCCCAGAACTATTTAAAAGTGAAATTTGGAATGTTTAGCCATTTCACTTGGTTTTGATTGTCCTAACAGAACCGAAACACTGAAGCATGGAGATGTGGCCACGCCCCCTAGAAAGTCTCTTTTATTTAATGACGTAAAACACCAGTGACAGTTGTTATAAAGGATAATGATTTTTCCTTAGCAGGTGGGAAATGGCACAGCCAGAGAGAAGAGACCATCTGGGAGCATAAAATAATGTAATGCAAGTTAGTAGAACACCCTGCTTAAGCAAAATCAATCAATCTTATTTTCAGGAACAGAAGACCTGGGCTGCTTCTTCAGCCTCCTCAAGTTATTCAAAGGTTGGGAAACAAAGGCAGGGAAATTGAAGGCAACAATGATGCAAACAAAGTAGATATTGAAAGCAGTGGCACAAAATAAACATCTGATTATGATGAGAAGTTGTGAGTAGCAATTAAAAATAAATATATATTTGTTAGAACTGTACTGCTGATAAAAATTACAGCATCTGGTTCTATGAATCCTGAAATCAATAAATCTGGACACTACAGATCTAGCTTCCCTCAAAATTATTCCCTGACAGTAATCTATGGATGGCAGGCTAAAAGTCATGAACAGTATATAGCTCCTTAAACTGATGTGTAATCTACAGCTTTACTCACAAATAGCACCACACAAACACAGGTACATCACAAATAAGCACCAATACCCACATAATGCATCCTCTTTGCTTTAACAGCATAATCAGAAATACTATTATATCACTTAAATTCCTATTGCTTACACTTTAGAAACTAAACACAACCAAGAAACTACTGTGCAAACATGACGTAGTTACTGTGTTTTACATCCTGCAAGAGGCTTCTCACGTTTCCCACAACAGAGTCTTTTGTACACAGCACCAGGGCAGAATCTGTTCAGGAATACATTTTCCAGTTCCTAAGGGCCCAGTTTGGGAGCAGGAGGAGACAGCATTCCATGGAGAATGTCTAGCAAAGGTTGCAAGGTTGATTTCTCAAAGCAGGAAGAAGGGTACACAGAAGACCTTCCTTTTTGTTACTCTGGAAAGTGCTGACAGCTCTACTCAGGTTGCTGTTCTGTCAATGTCTTAAAAGCAGCAAATAAAGACTGCAATGGCACATTTGTAACAGCATATCTAGTACAGAGAAAAAAATCAGATGAGACAATAAAGAGGGGAAAGATGAAAAATCCCTGCTCATTAAATTAATCGCATTTTCCAAAGAGCCCTGGGGTGTATTTGCACTGTGTTCAGAAGCTGTGACTGCAGCACATCTAGAAGCCACCTTAACCCAGCCAGGTCAGGTAAGAAAAGCCACAAATCTCTGAGAGTGAGCTCAAACTGCCATGTCTGATGAAAGAGATGAACAAATATGTTCCAAGATTTTTACCAGATGTATCCCATGAGACTGGATGTTCATGTGCTGCCCTTGCTGGAGTCAGTGCTGAACTCACATAACCTGCAGATATGTTTGGGACCTAGATTTCAAAAACTGGGTGGTTCCATGAGTTTTCTCCTTGTTGAATGGACTAACTCTTACTCAAATAACTGTTTTGTCTCTCCAAAATGTGGCTTCATATACAGAGAACGGTTGTGGGGATAGGAGATCTGTGTTGAGTGTGCTGTTGATCACAACACAGAGATCAGTCTCCTCTGAATGTGAATTGGAAGAAATTCTACAAAGAGAGACACATAGGAGAAAGCACTAGAAAAGACACTGAGCTCAGTGTTTATTCCCTGGCATTTGTGAAGGATCACATTTAGAAGAAGTGGATAGGCCAAGTTTTGCCTGCCTTTCTAGATAAAAAATCCTAATGGATTGGGGATCTTCACTACTGACAGCTGGCTCTGCTCTGATCCAACAGGAGCATTTCCACAGCGCTGGGCAGAGCACACTCACATATCCACTGACTTTTTGATTCAGCCTCATGTGTACACCCTCCCTAAGGAATTCACCCCTCTGTGTGCACACATCTCACTGCTTAGAGTAACCAAGTGACATTAGTGGCTTTCTTAAAAGACCATATAGCCTTTTAACTTATGTGTTTTAATAAACACATAACAAATGTATATTGAGATTTAACATTTCCATTCGCTAAAAGATATCTAAGTTCTTGACAAACTGATACAGAACTGCATTGCTTTATTCACCAGTGAAATATGGTTATTTCTATGATTAAGTAATTAATTAGAGCTGCAAGTGCAAGACAGAGTAACAGAAATCCTTATCTGCAGCTCATAATAATGTAAGCCATCTCATTAAAATAACAGTGGCAAGAGCAGGAAGGGATTATTACATTAAAATGTGGAAGGATTTCAAGACCTAGCTCCAACTTATAGCCTGATCAAAGCCCACTGAAATGAAATGGGAACTTTAATCCGTTAGGCATTAAAAATAAAGAAATTGTAATCTCCTCCAGCTGAGAATGCAGGAAGAGGGACTGCTTTGTTTGGCAGTGCATGTACAGCAGCTTTTTCTCCCTAACTTCAGTTTTAGACATACTGGTCTTCCTGATTTGTCTTTACAGATATTATTCCCATATAAATAAAAATAAATAAATAAATAAATAAATAAATTTTAAATACAGATATTAATTTTCTATTTTTAGTAGAAATCTATATTAGTGTTTTCTTTAGTTTTCAAGTACCATGTCATCATATCTATAATACATAGAAAACAGCATATATTTGCAAATATACGTGCTAGTGCAACTAGTATTGAGCAACCCATTTATTTCTATCTAAATTATTTTCTAGCTAAAAATCATTTGGGCATATCCATTATCTTGATAACTAAGAAAAAAAGCAATTTTGAGTTTTGTTATCAGGTTTTTTCTGAGGATCAGTATGCCACCCCAGGATTGCATTCACTTTGCAGGGTTTGTAGTGAAAAATTCATCAAGGAAAATAGGTTTTCCATCATCTGAAAAACTTAGGGCACTGTTCAGAAATGCTGCTTGCTATAAGTAATTAATTTTTAAAGGAAGCTTTTGTATCACTGAACAATACTTATCTAGCAATGCTGTACCATGAAGAAAGCATCTGCCTGCTGTATCTTTGCTACAGAACTTTTCCATCCAAGTCTTCTCCATGGCTCCACCCATCTTCCATGTGACTGGGAAAACACTGACAAGAGGTGACACAGTTACAGTACATCAGAAAGGAGACCAGCTCCTTGCCACAGACTGAGCTCTAAAAGGAAGGGTCCAACTCAGTGCTCATTCACACACACGAGACCCCACTTGCTGAAATGAACTGTGAAACTGCAGCCTGAACACACAGCTATCTACAGAAATGCCATTATATGAGGACCAAAGAGCTCAAAGATACAGATTTTCCTAATACATCTTACTAGAACTAGCAGATGTGGTTTAGGTAAAAAAACTCCCAGATTTTGCCTTTGTGCAGTGCAGTGACATGTCTACAATACTGTTCCCAATTAGTGAATTGCTCCATGAATGGTTTTTGCAGGATTCTTTTTAAAACCTATTGGGTGCATCACTATTTATTCTTTGCATGTCCCTGCAATTCTAGCTTGCCTTTTTTTCACCAAATTAAAATTTTGATAATGCCCCTTTCTCTCTCACTTGAATAATTAGATAAATATCTACAACACAAGATTCAATCAGCTCCCCCAATTTTTTTCCCCACTGACCCATTTATTTTGACCACACACTTCCCCACCCCCCAAGCCCCAGTGTGTGTTGTTTTTGATCTGACTCCCAGCTACATTAAGGCTAGCATTAGTGGCACCCCGGCTCGTTTTGTACATAGCCTGTCTTGAAAAGTAAGTGGAACTGCAGGTGCCCTCTCCCACTACCTCCAGGATGTGGCCCTGGAGAACATCAGTCTTTAGACAAAGACACTGAAGAGAGGAAACTCGGCTTGGTTGGGTTGCAGCAAGTCAGTCAGGAAACACACAGTTCCTGAAAAACCTTCATACAGACTATATACACTTTCTAGTGCCCGGGAACCAGACTTAAATTCTTCTGTAAATAAGAACTCTGCAAACCTAAGAGAGAAAAAAAAGAGTTTGTTATTACTTTATGTTCCTCTTTGTCTATATGTTTGGAAGTATCATTTTAATAGCACTCAGTAATTAAAGAAAGTAGAATGATCAGTATTTAACCTTTTCTGTAAATTCTACACTATGCAATTTCATTAGATCCAGAAGAGACAAACCTTTGCAATCTGTGTGTGCATTATGCTTGTTTAAGAGCTATAAACTTTTTCTGACTTCTGTAAGACGTATCATAAACAAATACTTGTTGATAAATTTTGGGATGCAAGCAATGTTTCACATCAATGCAACAAATTCTCTAATGCTGAAACAACTACATGAAATTAAAAAAATAAGCAAAGAGCTGAAAATCAGTCATCTTAATTACTATACCACTTCCCCTTGTTATTCTGTGCTGTAAGGAAAACAGTAACAAACATGGAATAGTATGTTTTTAAACAGGTACAGTAAACTACAGATACATAGTTAAAGATAATTGCAGCACCATGACAGAATTTTTACTGGACCACATGTGCTTGCACTTAGACAAAATAGAGTTAACCCCACCAGCTAAGCTAAAGGTGAGAATGATAAATAAAAAAAATATAAAATAACTGCACACTACATCCTGTACTTAATTTCCACTTTTAGTAATATGGAATAGTGTTACATGCTCTGAAAAAAAATCCTAACAAATCATGTTTTACTGTACTCCTGGACTTGGGTGCACAGCTTGTCCGGGTTCTGCCATCACATCAGGATGAGCCCTGGATGCACGTGACTCCTCCACATCCAGCCCAGTTCCCTCTGTAGGAACCAGGCCCCCAGGCAGGGAGGCAGCCTGGAAAGAGACTACAGAGCTCCCACCCCAGAACTCATGGCCAGAATTGATCCTGAACCTTAAACACTCAGGTTACATCCAAGGGTGGTGATCACAGCCTCTGCTTTATCAATGTTCCTGAAACTTCCTGGTATTAGCTAAATCCAGAAGACAGGAATGCTCACCTCTGTGCCCTGTATATGTATTTGGAGTTCCCAGTGAGCCTGTAGAGCAGCAGGAACACATAAGCACTACCAGCCACCCCATGGCATATGCCAGGGCCCTTCTTCAGAAGGCCTTTCTGCCAGGTGAGCTCTCCACAGCGGATACAAGTGTCCAGATATTGAGGCTTCTTGGAAACCAGGTAAGCTTTGGCAAACAGATATGCAATGCCTGGGGAAAGAGCAGTGAGATTGTCTTTTGTAATAAGCACACCAAGGGTCTCAAAGAACACGTAAGAAAATAAAGTTAATATGCTAAAAAACTGCAGGCTTGTGCTCTACACATGTCAGTATAGCCTCTAAATGCTCCATGAGGGGAGAGTATCTGCTATGCTAAAAACACACAGTGAGATATACTTATCCACCCCCTGTGACAATACCACTTTCAATCTTTTCAAGGCATTATTGAAATTCAGGGTTTTAGTCCAACATTCCCAGACTTTCATAATTTTAAAAGAGCAGTCACATTTTTGACTTTAAACACTAAACTCTTAGCACTGTCTTCTATTGGCTCCAAATCCCCATTCACCTCACCTGCTTACACTGACAGAAACACAAGCATGGGTAAGTTTATAATTTCTTCCACCCAGCATGGGTGTATTTATAATTTCTTCCACTGGCAACAGATACAAACTTTTACTAAATGAGGAAAAGAAACTCACTTTGTTTTTTTCCCAGTGAGGCATACACTGCTTCATTCTAGTTATACACAGTTATGCATACTAACTTCTGCTAAAAAAAAGTTATTTGGCTTATTTTTAGAGGGGATTTAAATAAATTAATCATAATTTTCACCAGAGCACTGCACAGCTCAGTTCACAGTAACCTTATGCACATGACACATAACCAACTCAAGTGCCTAAGGAAATGTTAAGCTGACTTGTGGTCTGAATTTAACAAACACTGGAGTAGCTGAAGTGTTCTTGTAATCTACATCTGTGTTATTACCCAAGAACAGTGATGGGACACAGGTTTTTCTGGGGAAGAACAATAGCAATTAATGAATTTCCCCATCTCAAAGTGTAACTTCTTTATGTCCTTTGGGTTTTTTTCACTTTGGTCAAATTTAACCTGTGATTATCTTCTACATGGAATCACCTAATGTGGAAAAGCAATGTGATGAGCATCTGGCTGTGCATAGCATCAATGGGAAAAGAACCTGGAGCTCCATGGCACCAGTGCACCAGCTCATTCTCCCTCTCGATGGTCTCCCCCAGCTCAGGGGGCCAGTTGCTGTTCTGCTCCTGGTCCATCAGGAAATCCACACTCTGCCACACCAGCTCCTGATCTGCTGGCTGCAGGTACTCATAATAGGACAGCAACATCTGCAGGATTGAGGAAAGCCCATGTGCTGCACCTGGAAAGAACAGAAACAACTGAATTAGAGGGTGGGTTTAGGTCCTGTCTGCACCTCACTGCAACTTTCCCTTGGGACAGATTTCCTTGTCAAGATCATGGCTCCTTCACCTTCTTCATGCATACTGAAATAGTGCTTGGAATAAAAGAATTCTAGATGCTTAACACCATATTTTACTACTTCTGTCTTCCTCTAGCTTTGCAAAAAGGCAGAAAATATGTATGAATTCCTTCTGCTCTCACTGTGATGTGACTGAAACTCACTGTATGAAGTTAAACTGAACCTGAACTGAATTCTGTTTCAAGGTGTTACTCTTCTTATCACACTGCTGAATCTGGGCCATATATTTGCATTTGCTGAATGCAAATTGAAACGGAGCCATAAATGGGTATTTCCAGTTACTGACAGACAGTACCAGTGAGCTAACACCTAAATTTCAGTGCAAGAACTGTCTGTACCCACCAGGGTCTCAGTGACTGCTCTCTCTGCTCCCCTGCCAGGGAACTGTAAACCAATCTCACACTTTCTGCAGTGATTCTGTGCCTTGAGAAGCCCTGCTCAGAGGCCTTTCACACTGCTTCAGGTGAGCTGCAACCCAGCTGCCCGTGAGGAGGAGAAGCATGGATGGTCCCAATTGGTTCAGGAGAAATCCCACACTGTAGATTTTATGTATTTTATTCCTGAAGTGCCTACTAGCTCAGCATCTCCACACAGCACCCTCTCAGAGGTGTTGGTGTGTTTTACTCACCAAGATACTCTGTTCCATAGTAGGAGTACATCAGTGGGACTGGTTTCCTCTTCTTCACTGCATACTGTTTTCCTGATTCTAGTATGGCCAGGCAAATTGATTTAATTTGTGCTGCAGTCAGCACCTAAACAGAAACATCAAACAAACATCAAGTCTATTATAATTATTTCATTTTTAAGACATTTTTCAGGAGTCTGCTTTTTTTGCCAGTGCACAGGATGCAGTACTGCCTTTAATCTTTATAAATATGCTGTAATGTACATCATTATTAGGAGTTCCTTACATAACACAGTCAATTTACATAATGTTTCTCAAAACCAGAGTTTCATCCTGTCTCAGGAAGTGAATGTCAAATCTTTAGCTGCACAGATGAGGTGAAAAGAGGCCCTGTAAGAGCCTTTGCTTCCAAGAAATCCTTCAGTCTGATGGAAGCTGACAACAAGCAGCAGGCAAGCTGCAGAACAGCAGCCTACAGACTGGGGGAAGAGGCATTAGGAGAAGACAAAGGAAAAGATGAAAGAAGTAAATGTTACAGGCTTTATTGGGACACACTGACCCAGACAGATTTTTCTACAGACAAGATTTTAAAAAAAAAGGAAGCAAGGAGGAGTTACTAAATTGTTACTAAATCACTACTACACAGGAGGGCTCAGAAAACTCTTAGTAAAAGCATCAGACTTTCTTAATACAAGAACATTTTAAGAAAAATGAAGTGCAAGACAGGCTTCTATGAAGGTAGGCTAGCTATGCTCATGGGACTTTAGCATCACAAACAGGTTAATGCAGTGACTAATGCCTTACTCTTAGAGGTGTCAGAAGTAAGACTGACAAATCACACATTTCACCAGACATGAACTTTTCCATGTTAATGATCTAAGGCATCCATTGAGAGATCAGTTTTACAGGGTTTAACTACAACTCTAATTACATGCAATTCACAGCAATCATCAGCAATGTCCTGTGTCAGCCACACCTGGACATTACTGACCAATACCTAGGCCAATTAAATAATTTAAATGAAGTATTGTTTTAGCTTTAGGGGAAAGCCCATATGGCAGAGGTACTTTGAAGAAAAATGCTTCAACTTGTGAAAAGAGAACTGAGAAAGCTAAAAGGAAAAATGACACAGAAAAAAAAAGGATGTACAAATTCTCTTGACAAGATAAACAGCAACCCTAAAATTAACTAGACTATCAGAAAATAATGTCTTTGAAATGTTTCTGAACACATTTGAGTTTGCTATAATTTGTATTATCATAGGATTGACAATTACTTCTTCAAGTTTAAAAAATAGTGATAGGTTTAATATGGAGACAACATCTGTTATAAACTATAATTTCTCATTTGGACTGTAAAAGATGCTACAGATAATTAATGTCACTTAAAACTTGACTGAAAAATAATGGCTGAAAGACCTTGTTTGTGTGTCTCACCTTGCTCCATGATAACAAGGGATTTTATTACAGCTGCTCCAAATGACTCTGGTATTTGTACAACATAGAGAACAACCTAGTTCTCATCTTGATTAGTGTTCTTTAATGTCACTGCAGTAGAATTAAACAAGCCATTAACATCTGGAGACTTCACTCATTTCCAGTAATTTTAAAATTAATTGTCTTAGCTCCAAAGAATTTAAAGAGACGGTTTGAATCTTAGCAAATGAGGAGACAGCAAAAGACATGGTGAGAAGCATTGAATTTTCTCCAGAGCTCTCATTTCACTGTCTTGAAATTTGGGACCTACTACTCCAAATTCCATACCTTGTAAAAGCATTAATAAGATCATCCCTTAAAAATAAATGAGAAGGATAAGTTCTACTAATTTTAATTCTGAAAGGCAAAGGCATGTGGGTTAGAAAAATCTTAATCAGTTCATTTTCTGTATGTAATGATTCCTTCACTTAATATTATCAATTAGCTTTCAATACAAACCATGTTTTCTAAGCTTATTTTTATGTTCAGCACATTTAATTTTTAAATTGAACTAATCACTGTTTTAGAATGCTGACTGTGTATTTTAAATGGATATAAACTTCTATCCAAATCCAGTCTTCCACAGTGCTGCATAAAGAAGTAGCAGCTAGATAAGAATGCGCTGTTCGCTGTTTTTTCATATAAAATAAGTGTAAAAAGTCAAAACACTTGAGCACTATGAATACCTAAGTCTATACAGAGTATACCCATTTGGCTGGCATAATGAAATACGCTAATAAATGTCACCTCTTTTTCAGAATGCAAAAGCAGCCCATATGCAAAGACAGATGAAAAACGGCATTTAAAAGCATGAATGAATGGCAGAAATCAACCCACCTGATCCACTTCCACATGACCAAAGAAAATGGGAAAGAAAATGCCTGTGTATCTTGAAAACAGCCTTATTTCTGGCCTCTTGGACTGATCTGTGGGTTTACACCAGGCAGAGGTGTCCTAACTAACAGCTAAATAAATACATCTTTATGTTGACTACAAATACCACTTACCAAGTCACTCAATTGACAGTCATTGTAGGGTTGCTGCCTGTTTCCCAAAACACTTAAGTATGAAGGATTTGCATTTGCTCCTCATTCTGGGAAATGGCTGACTGGAACAGAAACTCTCACTTACCATCACTATTAGTGGCCTGCCAAAGGCTGAATAATCAGCAATCACATTTAAGATCTCCATTGGTTTGACACATTTTACTTCAATCAATTTTGTATTAAAATCTCCTTAAATTTCTGTCACCTTACCAAAAAAAAAAAAAAAAATCTGTGCTTTCTCTCTGTATGCTCCCTCACAGTACCTTTAAAAAAACAGCTAAATCTTATGAGCAAAACAACAATCATAAAATACATTAATCATAACCACAGACAGTACAACTGTGGTCTCACAAACTTCATTTTCATTTCAGTGTAGTCGCAATGCTTCCTTGCCCCTGGGAATTACTGAAGTAATGTTTAATTAGGGACAGAAAAGAAAAAGACTTCGAAGGGATAAATCATATATTGATATCATGTCCTCTAGACTCATCAGATGCTTTGATGCAGAATAAAGCCAATATGAGAATATGCTACCTAGAAAAAAAATTTCATACTTGAGATAAGATACATGTTTTGAGAAAATTCTTGAATGTCACTTAATAGGAGCATGGGTAAAATCATTCTTTATCACGTCAGTACTTGAGTGGAAGACTAATGACATTCAGCCCTATTGCTAATGCTTTAAAATTTCACCTAATTTCTTTTTGTATTCTTAAAGACATCACAACCTGTTCCACCACAGAATTAGAGAATAGTTTGGGTTGGAAGGCACCTTAAAGACCATTTACTTCCAAGTCCCTCACCATGGGTAGGGACACCTTCTACTAGACCAGGTTGCCCAAAGCCCCGTCCATCCTGGCTTTGAACAACTTCTCCACAACAACCTGTTCCAGTGTCTCACCACCCTCACAGCAAGGAATTCCTTCCTAATTTTTACATGTAAGTTGCCCTCTTTCAGTCTAAAGCCATTCCCTGTTGTCCTGTTACCACATGCCCATGTAAAAAGCCCCTCTTAATCTTTCAGCTATTTATCAAACACCCAGATCATGTTCCTTTTCCTGGTGGCCTGCCCACTTTGGTCAAAAGAGGTGATTTTGAATGATAGTTAATGTTAGAAATGTTTATTTTAGTCTCCTCACTAGACTAAAGTTTGGAATACATGCATTCCACATTCTCCCTGCAATTTCTGTATCAATTGGTTGCTGGAGTTCTTTATTTTCTGTTTTACATCATTGCCAGTGATGCTGAGTGCTGCCAAATAATTGCTCCACTCACACTGGTGACAGCTTCATTCCCATATACCTGTTACTTTAAGCACAACACATAGGCAGCACTTTAATACTTTCTATTTGTACCACTCTCTGTCTAGGAGCCTGACTTGCAGTAAAGAAAACCACTGTGATTGTTCATAAAGTCTCTCCATTTTTCTCTGGTGCCACTGCAGACAATATGCTTCTTCCCATAAAGGCACTCCACAATTTTGTGAATTATTTAGGGCAGGTGGTTTTTTTTCAGTAAATCCCTGTTAAAAGGCAGCCAGGAAGTGCTCTGTCTACAGCAATCACAGAGCATCATTCCGGTTTTTGTTAGCAATCTTTCACCCTGAGATTGTTTAGTTGGAAGTCAATAATTTCACAACTCCTTTTAATCTACTGAAAGAGATTTTGCAATTATTGGTTATGACAGTGCTAAGCCTCACACACATGTTTTGAAAACTGTAGGCAGAAATCTTGACCTTGAGGATTAGGCAGAAAGCAGCAGGATGAGCTGTTCTCATTAGACTAACATTTTCAGCACTTTTTCATTCCTCTGAAAGCTTGTACAAACCCCTTGGCTCATTTTGAAAATCACTGCTACATCAAACTGCATACTGTATGGAGTGTATTTGATGACTGTAAGCTTTCAATTCTTTTAACAGGTCTGTATTTATTTCCTTAGAGCTCTTTCCTGTGACAGAAGGCATTACTGAAACCAAGTATCATGATCTTTTGATAGATGCATGAGCACTTTCAGGAGGTAACAGCTACAGTTACATTATGGTGGAAAAAAACTTCTATGCACATAAAACCATTTTATTATGCATCCAACACATCAAATCTCTCTCTGTTACACTTTTAACAAGCCACTTACATGAATTTGATCGTACACTATTTCTGATGCTGTACAAAGTGTCAAAATAAACTGAAGAAAATGGGTCAGTCTGCAAATAACATAGAGGAGCTTTGCCATTGCTCTCCTATGCTGGGAGCCCAGCAGAGGGAGCTTGTGAATTAGTTATAATAAAATGCTGCAAAAAATGATATGCATATTTGTGTTCAGCAAGACAGCAGACACTGGTAATTTCATGATACTTACTGCAGTACATGGTATTTCAGTTCATTCCTTAAGCTTGATCTTTTCCTGCCAAAGACAGGGACTGGCATTGTTCAGGAACCTTTCCATGCAATGTCACAGCCAGGTTTTTCTCTTTCAGATGATGGTAACACCTGAAGCCATGGAAGAGTAGCAGGTACAATAAGAGGATCTGTCTCCCCTTAGTGTTATTCCAGTTTGACTGATCTACCTCTCCTTTGGCACAGTGGGAAACTCAGCTCCAAGTACACCAA